CCACCAGCGTCATCGGCTCGATCTACACCACCACGGGCATCGCCATCAACCGCTACTGCTACATCTGCCACAGCCTCAAGTACGACAAGCTCTTCTCCAACAGCAACACCATGTGCTACGTGGTGTTGGTGTGGACGCTCACCATCCTGGCTATCGTGCCCAACTGGTTTGTGGAGTCCCTGCAGTACGACCCACGCGTGTACTCCTGCACCTTTGCTCAGTCTGTCAGCTCACTGTATACCATCACTGTGGTGGTGGTGCACTTCATTCTGCCCATCAGCATCGTCACCTACTGCTATCTGCGCATATGGATCCTGGTTATTCAGGTGCGGAGGAGGGTCAAGCCAGACTCAAGGCCTAAAATAAAGCCACACGACCTACGCAACTTCCTCACCATGTTCGTGGTGTTCGTGCTCTTCGCTGTCTGCTGGGCACCAATAAACTTCATCGGCCTTGCGGTGGCGCTGGACTCCAGGCTAGCTCTGGCCATACCAGAGTGGCTTTTCACAGTCAGCTACTTTATGGCGTATTTCAACAGCTGCCTCAATGCTGTCGTATATGGTGTCCTTAATCACAATTTTAGGAAGGAGTACAAGAGGATCGTCCTGATCATTTTTAAGTTACACTGCTGAGACTGACAAACAGGTAATTATTATCTTTTCTGAATAGAAAAGGCCATAAATGAAGGACCAGTGCTTTACCAGGAAAAATAGTGGAATTATTTAAAAGAGAGAAAATCATTTAAAGGGTTAGGGTTATTAAAATGACTATTTATAGCTAAAATGTTAAAAAGTGGTGGATATAAGAATATATGATGAGTAATATATGAGTAATCTTAGTAATGTGATCCTTTTACTGTCTCCTTATTTAATGAAACTGTCTTCTCCCTGGAATATTCAAACACTGTGACTCACTGTGATGCATGACCTCCAACAAACCACTGTCAAGGCAGGGAAAACGTATGTTGTTAAAATACAGTTCATTTCTGTTTGATTGTTCTGACCAGAAAACGACTGACATTCAAGGCATTTTCGTAATATTACACATTTATAAAAAAAAAAAGAAAATCCAAAACAATGGCCTTGAAAATCCTGAGTATCAATGTTGACATTTAATTTATCTTCTTTTATTACACGTTCTTCTCCGCATTTTAAAATGTGACATTTTGTTGAAATTTTCAAAAGTGGCCCTGAGAGGACAAGTCACTGTCAACCAGTTTTGAGGATTTGAAAAATGCCTGTAGCGTAAAATACAGGGAGTTACACACTAACATTTAACTGTCTTTCACTGATGATGATTAGCATACATGTACAACCTCACCAGTATCTAGTTATAATATTGATTTATGGTTGGTGTTGTATTTGCTTAATTTGCATAATTTAAATGTGTGAGTTGCAGCACGTTGAACCCTCAGGGCCATGTTTGGGAAAAGGTGCTAAATTAGTTAAGCAAAAGGACTGAGGTGAAACAAGTCTTTACTGTGCATTTGGACGTTGGCTCGTAAAATGTGATGAAGTTTGAGTTTCAAAACCTCTGTACTGTACACTCCACATGTACGTACTGTAACTGCAGCCCGGTGTTCCAGAAAATTCACCACATGCTGTGAAGTAGGCACCCCCACCTGATGTCACGGTTAAAAAGGGAGGACAAACGTTATTGGTTTTTACACATTATGATCACAAATACTTTAATTAGGAAACAAAGGGATTACTGTAAATAGACTGGCCGCTGATGATGTCACTACCGTTAGATCAGGCAATTTTAATAAATCCCCATAGTAGTCCACATAGAGTAGGCAGATTTTGACACCTTTTGCACTTCCTGATGCAAACTGGCATTTAGAGACTAGGTGATCACTCTAGCCTCACCAGGAAATATTTAGTAAGTAAAAAAATAACCAAATGTGAATTCCACTGGACACTGGGTAAATAGTCAAGGATAAGGGTTAGGACAAGCTTCAATGTCAAAATAAATAAATAAGCGATACAGTTCGGTTGATCTGGCACTGACGTTCAGTCATTTCCTAATTTATTTATTAAAGCTAATTGCAAAAAAATCTCAGGGAAATCGCACAATTTGATGCTGTGCAGCACCTAGTGGTTGCATCTCTGAATGACAGAAACAAACATTATTTGTGTTTCATTCAAAATTTTAACTAATCACGAAAAATAGGAGGATGAAAGATTAAACCAAGAACCTGCCGTCCGTCCACACCCACTAATAAAGACATTTCCTTCTTTTAGAAGCTACAGACTTGCAAAAAAAAAAATAAAATCCCAACTTAATATAATAATAATAATAATAACTGATCAACACAGTCCAGTGAATTACCTTGTAATGTGAATATGTTTCATCTACCTCACTATCGTCCAGACTTGTACTGGTTTTTGTCAATCCTGTAAGACGCACACGACCCTGAGGGTCGGACAGTAGAGGCACTTTGTCTCTCATTTTGTTCATGACAGACAAAGCATACTCCCCCTTGACAGAACACAGTTGGCATTAAAATAAGAATAAAAAAAAGTCATTTTCAACAACTCTCAGATCTCAGGTGTACTCACAATAAAAGGACAATATAATGTGATGAAGCAGACAAACTAGATGATTCTGCATGTGTCATGTCACAACACCACATGTTGCAACGATCCTTTCAGATTCTCTGACATAAAATGACCAAATCTTGTATTTGATCATAAACTCATACCTGTCTCCTTGGTTTCACGGAAATAAATCAATGTTTTTCGATGTCTAAATGTCTCAAGTTAAACCTTCGATTACCTCCTACACCCATTAGATGAAACTGAATTTGTTTTATGTGATTTGTTTGTGTAACAGTTGAATTCCAAGTTTTCTGTTTCTGTGCGATGGCTCTATACGTAGTGGTGTCTTTACCTGATCTGTTTTTACCTTCCCTTCTACCATCATCAGCTGGAACTGGCTCCAACGTGTTTTGTGATTCTTAGACAGGCTGCACAGACTTTAGAGTGCAGTCTTTCAAGCTGATGAACAATTTTCTGAGTCTGAGAGAAAGTCAAAAATCTCATACTCAAACTATTGTGGGTGAAAAAAAAGCCTGTCAGACTGTCGGCCACAACGGCCGGCCTGGAAAAGACCGGAAAAAAAGTCGTGTGATGTCATGATGCTTCATAATTCTAAGAGCAAAAAGTAAAAGTGACTGCTGGACAAGATGACATAAAGGTGACTGCACTTCAATGATGAAATGTGAAACTGAAGAAAAGGTGAGAAGCAGCAGAGACACTTGACGTCTTCTACATCAGCTCCAGTACACACAGCTGCTGGAAGCTTAACACTACCTCACTGTAACGAACAGAAGATTGTGGTTCATTCTTATGCCCATGTAGTCGTTGTAAGTACTAATATTTGCATCAGGAGTGATTTTAACATTTACAGACCCACGAAGACGCAATTCAAGACATAACTATGAGCTCAGGCAGGCAAACGTAACCAATCCTTCCCAAATACCCCGTACCTGTAGCTGGTGTTTCACAGAGGATGGGAGAGGGTGTGGGAGGCAGTTTTAACATTACATTCACACCAATATGCTATTAACCAGGTAGCTGTACTGCTACTTGCAAAAGTTACCTCCACCACCAGATGTCAGAAGAGCTAACATTGAAGAAACCAAAAGCCAAAAATTAAGTTAATTTAGTTAAATTAAGAAAATATATAATAATAATAATAATAATAATAAGACATGTAAAGGAAGACGACTGCAAACAGTGCTTTAATCAGAATTCCTTCTTGGTATAATTCTGTGTTTGGCACCAGGTCTCAACACATTTCTTTTACATTATCTGAAACTTGTTTAAAACCTATTGCTGAGTTTCAAGTTTCCATGCTGTATGGGTTAAAAATGTAAAGTTTGCTTACATTTTAAAATTGTTCAATTTTGTTCAATCTTGATGGAAACTACTGTACATCGTGGACTGATTCTAATTTGAACAACAGTGTAAGGTGTTGTCAAGCAAACCAGGTTTTCCCGAAGCTTAACCAATTTACAGTCCAAACTCAATTTTCAGAACTGTTTTACTTTTTTTTTTTGAACACCAAAAGGAGACTTCATATTTTATGATTGAAGATTTGAACAGACACCTCTTGACAGGTCAAGAAGCAACAATAGAAAGGATGAATTCTTGTCCCTCCAAGAGAAATCTGCTCAGTATTTATATAATTAAATATATATATATATATATATATTTTAACTGCAATGTGTTTGTGACCAATGACCAGAACACCTGGATTTTCTAGTCGTTAGTCATTAGGAACAAAACAGTGCCATTCATAAGCAATATTGTGATTTTTGTTCTTCTACATTTACCTCTTAGATTTGAATTTCTACATAAAAATGAAAAAACAAAAACCAAACAAAAAAATATGTTAAAAACAAATGTTTTTCCAGACAGTGTTCTGACCACATCACTGTGTAACAAACTCCAGGAAAGTGAAAGAAGCAAAACTATGAATGGAATTGTTGCATGAGAGAAATGGTTTCTTATCTAATTTAATGTGTTTTGTCTCTGTAAACTGGCGTATTAAAGCCCTTTTAGAACCTTTAAAATGGAATAGAATGAATGAATGTGTGTTTTAGCAGATGTGTCTTTAGGTTATTTTTTTGGTGATATTTTAAAGGTTAATATATTTTAAATCAAACCAAAAGTTGGATAATTTAAGTTAAATTTCCTAGTTTTACCAGATTTTAAGAACACAAACCAGGGCTACAGGGCTACCATTAGCTTAGCTTTGGAAACTGATGAAAACTAATACCAAGACAGGCTAGCCGAGCGTTAGTTTCATTCACCTTGGTATATCTGACATTGTATGAACATTAATGACAGCTAAGCTAATATGTTTTATTATAAACAAACATAATATCTCTTGTTAAAAACTGAGTACCTAAGTTGTCAATTGTTCACCTACAAACACAGTAAAGTTAGGGGTAACCAGACAATAATAAAAAAGCATTATGACAATGACTGAGGTGCAAAGGTAATATGTGTAAAAAAAGTATTTTCAAATAAAGGAGCAGAAAGTGTCGAGCCAAGGTGCCGGCGTGAGTTAAAGTTCAAAGCAGCTGCTCTGACTAAATTGTCAGCCAGCTGTGAACAGTAGTAAATGTAATTGGTTACCTGCAGCAGTATTAATCCAAGCCTTTTCATTTGTGTGAAATGGTTACCAGATATTGTTTAATATTAGGCCATGGACCATGTTCTGTCAGGAGCTGAGATTGGTATAAAAAAAAAAAAAAAATTAAAAAAAGAATGTATTCATCGTTCAAGCTGTTTTTTGCACATGGCCATGGAATGTCTGTGTTGTGGACTAAAGAAACATGTCTTAATAAAGGAACCTTCACTGTGAGCCCATGCCCGTCGCTTTGTTACTTACAAAAACACGTGCTGTCTGTTTCCCATCTGCCGTTTACATTGACACTAAAGCACATAATCAATATTAAGTGCATTGCATTATGGATTTTGTTTGTGTGCAGTTGACACAGCTTCAGTTGAAGATAAGGGCTCCAATTCTCAGAAGACCAGCCTCCTGATTGGCTAAAGTCAACTGTAGTTGATTTTCTTAACAGTGAGTATGTTGAATGGTAAGTGGGTTTTGAAATACTTTTTTTACAGATTTAAGGGCAGGTAATTACTTGAATCTGATTTGACTGGAAGATACCGGAGACCAATCATCCCTTAACATTTAATGAGAAAAACAATAACTTGAAAAAAGAGGAAAACACGTGGAAGGCTTAAACAGATTTGACACAGATTAAGCATGTTAGGGATTTAGAGTTTTTTACATTTGTCTGCGTAGATTAAGTCCTCCTCCTTATCATTCCGTTCTCAACTAAAGGTGGTGCAGCAGCAGAATCCTCCTCCCCGCTGCTTTTAACAAGCTGAAGCTGACAGCGGGAGACTCCGACAGGAGAGTCCGGCTGCTATCGTATCTGAGCCACCCGCAAAAACACCATGATTTAGCAAAACAATTTTGGGACTGCTGTACTACTGGAGGTAAATTCCTCGAGTATTCACAGGGGTTCAAGAATATATTCAGTATTTGACGACTGGAGGCAGAACAAGCCCCAAGAACTGTTGAAGTGTTGTGAAATAAAATAATAAATAGCCTAACTTAAGAAAA